AAATCACTTTTTACTATGTAAAAAAATTAATTCTTTATTTTGTATTAAATAATTTTCTGACCTTCTCCGGACCAATCCGGACCCATCCGAATCCAAATTTCCGAGGTTGTTCCTGGAACAGGGTGTTCCAAGTAGATTCATCCTTAATATAATATACTAATTTTGTGTATTTAAATAAAAATTATAGTCCAGTTTAGATTATAATTTTTACTGCAAAATTTGAATTGAACTAAACTAAGATTTTGAGTTCAGTTTGAGTTTGAATCAAACTCACAATTAAAGCTTGAGTTAAGTTTGAATCAAATTCACAATTAAAGCTTGAGTTAAGTTTGAATCAAACTCAAACTTTTTCAGAGTATTAGTATTAAGTTTATTTATACTTACATGATATAATCAAGACTTTTCGAGTAGATTACAAGTATTTTGGCTATTAAATAAATTTCTTTTTTTTGTTACATATTTATTATAATAAAAGTAATTAATATATTAGCAATAATTGAATTACATTTAGTCTGTAGATTTTATGAATATTACTGATTCTATTATAAATTATGTATTTTGTTCTTATATAGTATTCTTATAGAGAGATGCAAAGGTGCGACTGTATATTCTACGCATATTATTAACAAAATTAAAAATTATTCAGCGCAAGTCCTGACAATTGAATTGTCATGTAATATATGTATCTAATATAAAAAATGTATAAATTATGATAAACTTACGCATTAAGTGATAAATGCAAAAAAACAATATATACTATCTTGTTATTTATATAAAAACCTATTTGGAGAGTTAATATTAACACCTAGATTGATTATTCGTATTTGATGAATATTGTATAATATAATAACATGTATATATGATAGAAAAAAAATTACCAGCTTCTTCAATAATTTTTGAGATTGATCTACTTTTGTATATTGCATCTATGTGAATCTTTCTTTTCTTTCCTCTATTTTCTATATATTTTTTGACTTTATTTTGAATGGTAAAATAATCCCATTCTCTAATTATATTAAAAATTTCATTTGCTATTGGACGTTTTGATGGATTCTGATCCCAACAATATATCATTAGCTCTTGATAATATTTTGGTATACCATCAGGAATAGCTGGCCAAATTTTATCACAAATATTATAAATGAGGGTGATATCATGACTACAGCTACTAAATGGATACTCTCTGTTCCAAATTTCCCATATTATCATTCCACAGGAGTAAATATCACTAGCAGTTATATATTTTTTGGTTCGCAGGACCTCAGGTGCAACATATAGTATTACACCAAATACTTCATCATCCATAATTTCAGCAATTTTTCTACATCATCCAAAATCTGTTATATATAACAAATTTAAACCGCATAAGATATTGCCACTATGCAAATCCTGATGAATATATTGATGTTCATGTAAAGATCGTAATTCTATAGTTAAATCAAGTAAGTGGTCATATAAATAATGGTAGAAGATATTTCCACTTTTAATTAGATCATATAGTGAACTGTCTTTATAAAAGCGAAGCACTAAAATATAATTTTTCATTTTTGAGTTTCTAGAAATTTCAAATATTCTTGCCATATTACTAAAATGACTATTGATAACAGCAGATTGAATCTGGATGTTTAAATATAATTCAAAGCCAATATTCCCTTATTTCTTGAATTGTATTACAATTTGTATTACTCGAATTAAATAACACCTTTAGTGCAACAAAACTTGGTCCTGCTCGAATTAATTTTCTTTAATTTTTATTGAAACTAATTATAAAATCTGAATTCCACATTACTTTTGATACGCTGCCAAAACCACCTTCAATAATTAATTTCATTTCATCAAATTCTTCATACTCGATCCACTTGAGAAAACTTTCAAGTTGAGTTGCTTTAATAATTTTATCAATTTTATTATTTTTGCTTGTCCATGAAGGGAGATCACAAATAGGACAAAACTAATAATTAATGTTCTATTTTTCTTGACACTTTGAATAATTTACTTTCATTCCTTGTTGTTTGAAGAATATATTAGTACAGTTAATACAGTTTGACTTTAATTAAAAATCATTAGATTTTAGACTTGACTTGGAGAATATACCTACTATCTGTACATTATAGCCTATCGTTTACAGTTTGGAGAATTCTTATTATTTAGATGATTGAATGGAAATAAATCATATACTATCTGGACTCTTTTATATGAGGTGAACTTTATTAAATTTTTATTTGCTGAACTATAGATCTATGTCACTGTATCTCGTATTCATACACTCAGTGATTAAAAGTCTGCAATCGGGCAATGATCGATATAATTAAAAGGTAGTTCAAATGTCTATTGTGTGACAAGAAAAGGTTCAATTATAATGTATATTACTTCATTAGAAAGCTGAAATCTCAAACTTTCAAATAAAATAAAAAAATTGATGTCAAATCCAACTAATACTCATCAAAATTGCGAACTTACAGATTTTGAGTGTGGTGAGATCATCAGCGCTTGAAAGTGTGATTTGTCTGAAAAAAAGATTAAAGATACGCTAGGATGACCCAAATCTACTGTTCATACTATTATTAATAAATACAAAGAGTTTGGCCAAACTACAGTTGCCGCATGGAGCAGTAGATCACAAAAATTAGATGATAGAGCTACTTGAAGATTAATTAATATTGTTAAAAATAATTGACAACAAGCAGTTGATAAAATTACCAAAAAATTCAATACTGCTATGATTGTAACTGTTAGTTCCAGTACTATATGATGTACTCTTCATGAATATGGGTTTTATGATTGGGCTGGAGTTAGAAAATCTTTTGTATCTGAGAAAAATCATCAAAAATGATTAAAATGGTACTTAGAAAGAAAAGATTGGATTAGTGATGGGAATTAGTAATTTGGAGTGATGAATCAAGATACCTAATATTCTGAAATGATTTCTGGCAATGGATTTGGCGCTGACTACATGAAAAATATGATGTTGATTGTCTTCTTCCTAGTATGAAATCAGATAATCAGGGAGTAATGGTATGGGAATGTTTTACTCAAAATTCACTTGGATTATTAATCAAAGTTAAAGGTTGATTGCAAACTTTTGATCACTAAGTATACATATTCTATGCATAAATATTACTCTAAATTATAGATTCATAACATATTAAATTTTATGATTATGGTTATTTTCTGTAGTAATATATATTAATAATATACATGTATAATAACACTCAAAAATATTATTACATCACTCATATATAATAATATTAATCAATTTTTTATATTATATATTTAAAAAAAATAAACTGTATTTTACATTAAATTAAGCAATCTGTTTCTTTTGATCATTTTGATAAATAAAAGTAAAATTAAAATTGCTCATTAAACTAAATAAATTTATGAAAATTTAATCTCCAATTTTAATTACACCTAATATAACCATCCTTTGCATTAATTATATCTTGAATGTATTCCTCCATACTTTTATTAAAAATATATTATTAATTTCAATCCAAATTTTTTATATCACATTTCAGAGTTAATCTTGAGTATAGATACCAATTGATAATATTTTCAAATGATGATCTATTTTGTTTCAGAAATGCTTAATTGGATTAAGATCAAGTGATTAGGCAGACTAATCAAGCAAATAGATATCATTATTATCAAACTATTTATATGTAGATTTTGCTATGTATTTCAGATTATTATCTTGTTAAAGTCAATATCATTTTTATTAATTTCATATCACTAGATTATTTTTAAAAGACTTCAAATCATTATATTCTCACTTACAAATTTTACTATAGGTTTTACATAATACTCTTTCAAAGGTTCATTATCATATTTTTAGTAATATTTACATCTATCTGAATTAAAAATCATAAATTTTAATTCATCTGACCAGTTGATTTTGCTCCAATTATTAATAGTCTAATAACAATATTTTTTCACAAATTTTAAATATTGAATTTGATGTATTTTTTTGAGATATAGTTTTTTTTTACTTAATTTGTGAAAAAAACTATTATAATGTAAAGTTTGCTTTATTATGCTTGTGCTAATATCAATTTTATTATTTTTTTTAAATTAAACATATAATATTTTATTTATCACATCCAGTAAAAATCCTAAAATAACCTGGTTTTGGTAAATCTTTAAAGATATTATAAATATCTTTTTTGCTTTATTTTTATAATGAAGGATTGGAAAATATTTTCATAATTTGCAATATAATAAGAAAGAATATCCTTCTTTAAGAAGAGTATAAATTTGGAATCTTTTTTTAATGGAAATATATATCATAATATTTTAATTATATAAGATAAAAGAGTGAATTATTAAGTATATTTTATTTATAGGGGATATATTTTGTTTTATTATGTGTTTTTTATCCATTTCTATATTTGTTTTGAGGGAAGAAATAATCAAAAGAAATATATAATCAGTTTGATGTAATAAAGTTTAAGTTAAACAATTTATTTTTTAAATTCTATATATTATTTATTTATACTTTTAACTATATAGGCTAAGTTTTATTTATCTATAGTGTCTATATTGCTAAAAATTTCATGATTTATTTTTTTATTCTAGTAATACATTACTTTTAAGTATTACTATATATTCTTTTTAGAAAAGAGATATATATATACACATGATTTTTAAGTTTATGTAGATATATATATATAAAAACTGACTTTTAAATATAGTTTTAGGATAAAATATAGATGAATGAATTTAATTTATTGGAAAGCTATAATATATAATATAATAAATAATATTATAATGTATTATCATTTCTGGCTAGCATTTTTCTCATGGAAAGATTAAAGATTATTGAAAGTAATAGAAATTTATTTTGTCTCTTTTTCTTTTATATTTATTAGAGTTTTTGCTTTTTTTAAGTTAATAATGAAATTTTCTTTAAAACAGATATTGGATTATACATGACAATATGGAAATGATAATATTATTTTAGAAATATCATTCAGTTTAGACTCTCACTTATTATTTCAGTAATTAATAGAAAAACAATGGTATTGTAACTCATGAAAGATGTAAGTATACTAATGTATTTTTTTGTCTAAATGATATAATAAATAATAAGAATGTAATATATATTTAAAATTTGGATTTTTTATATTTATTATCAAAATAAAATTCATAACATGCATATTATTATTTTTGTAGAATATAAAAATGAAATTAATAATATATATATAGTACTTTTATATTTGCTTAGAAAGTATATAATAATATAATATGTATATAAAAATTTTTATATTATTTATAGAAAATAATACTTGAATAGTACCATTTACAAATAAGTAAATGGTTTTAATTAAAAATATACCTGTTTTTAGAGTATAAAGTTATATAAGAAAAAAATTTTCAAAAGATTAATAAAATTTTTACGTAAATTAAATCTATTTCTTTCAAGAAACTTTTACTTATTACATCACTATATTTTTACTTATTTATCATGTTCAATTAATAACTTCTCATTTTCATCTCTTAAATAATGATATAATATCTATTTTTGAATTTAGTTTTGAATATATTTTATTTTAATATTTAAAAGTAAAATATAATATGTTTATTTTTTATTAGATAATTGGCCTAACTTTATTTTTTTCTTGATAATTTTGGTTAGTTAGCTTATATATTCCTATAATATATTATTGAAAATTAATCATGCAAAATGCTGATCCAAAGTTTAAAAAGCCAATTTTATTGGTATTATACATAATAATATAAATGTAATAATAAACAAAAAATAATTCCATTTTTTCTTTTTTTATAATATATAGAAAGAAGTTGATGAATAAACAAAAAGAATAAATAATTAGTACTTATCTTACTAGTATCAAAGGTCTAAATCTTACATTTAAATTTAATATTTCTCAAACAACAGTATATAATATCATCAAATAATATAAAAAAATCAATTTCCCACATCCTGAAAAATATTCTGGTTAGCCAAAAACTCTGATCAATAATAAAAAGCATATATTAAAATGAGTTATTCTAAAAAATCAGTTTTTTCCACTTGGTAAAATCACAAATAAATTAAATAACAAATTCAATATTACTTATCATACTAATATCATCTGCAAATATATAGATGAAATAGGATTTAGAAGCTATATTCCAAGAAAAAAATTTCTTTTGATGCCAAATCAAGAACTTTATTAATTAAATTAGTGCCAGAAGAAATGTGACTGGAAAGTATAATAAAAAAATATAATCTAATTTGATGAGTCCAAATTTACACTTTTCAAATCAGATAGCCAGGTAAGAATATGATGGAAACCTGGTGAAGC